AGGCACTATACCACCAGAGCTCCAAAAAAAAAAAAATATATATATATAGTACCAATATAGTCTGCCAGAAGAACAAACAAGCCTGTCCTGGAAGAAGTACAGCCAGAATGCTCTTTGAAGCAAAGATGGTGAGACTTCATTTCATGTACTTTGGACATGTTATCAGGAGGGACCAGTCCCTGGAGGAGGACGTTATGCGTGGTAAAGCAGAGGTCAGTGAAAAAGAGGAAACTCTCAACAAGATGGATTGACACAGTGGCTGCAACAATGGGCTCAAACATAACAACTGTGAGGATGGTACAGGACCAGGCAGTGTTTCCTTCTGTTGTACACTGGGTTGCTGTGAGTTGGAACCAACTTTGAAAGCACTTAACAACAAACAGGAATTTGCTTGATATGTGATGTGACCCAGGAAGCTAAAGAGGCTGTGGGCTTACCACTGCAGACACTGGAAAAAAAAAAAAAGGTATGAAGTAGAGGTAAAAATGGGAATTAAGTAAAGGACTGTATATAGAACTTTCCTTAGCCTCACCCTTCCCCAAGTGATAAATGCAGACAGCCTGGAATTTCCACTGGGATTGGGGTGCGGGAGGTAAGGGGTGGAGGGTCCGGGCGGGTATTGGGCCATGACACACCAAATGAAAAACACTATGTGTAGGACAAGAAATTCAATTTGGCCTTTTGTCTCTGGTTTCTGAAAAGAGCCCTTTGCAAAAGGGAATATACCCATGACCATATATAAGGTTGGCAGATGATATGTCTACATACATATTTGTATATGCTGTAAGAATGTCCAAATATATAATAGAGCTAACAAAGGCAAAGTTATGATAACTTCTTGGTCATAGCCAACCACCTTGAGGGAGCAAGTAGTTGGACCAGTGGGCTTGGGACCATGGTCGAAGGGGACATCAAGCTCAACTGGCATAACATACTACACAAAAATACTGTTCTACATCCTACTCTGAGTAGTAACTGGAGTCTTAAAAGCTTGCAAGCGGCCATCTAGATGCAACATTGGGTCTCTCCTCATCCACAGCAAAAAAGAATGAAGAAAATCAAAGATATATGCAAACAATTAGTCCAAGGGATTGGTAGACCATACGATCCTCAACTTACATGACTATGAGACCAGAAGAACTAGATGATGCCCAGCTATTACTATCAACCACTGGGAAAAGGAAAGTGCAGGAGATGAAGTGCAAAGAACAATGTAGAACACAACTTAAAATCATTAAAAAAAAAAAAAAAAAAGAAGGGAGAGAGAACCAGGTTTACTGGTCTAGAAGAACTAGATGATGCCCAGCTATTACTATCAACCACTGGGAAAAGGAAAGTGCAGGAGATGAAGTGCAAAGAACAATGTAGAACACAACTTA